CTGTCCACTGACCAGAAATTTGAACAGCTCCCAACAGAAAGTAACAGACAGGATTGGATTGACCAAAAAACAAGCTAGGAGAAGACCACAGCCCAGAAATGACTGAAGCCTGCAGCAAAGCTAGAAGCTGGCTTGGGATCTGCTCCAAGCCAAGGGGCAGCAAGGAAAGGAGAGCCTCGAAGCTCAAAGCAAGCAGTGGTCAGACTGGGACAGGCTGAGCCTTGTGACTCTTCCCTAAAGCAGCAAGTGTAGATGCTAATGGCAGGATAGTATCTGTAGGATGCATGCCAGTACCCAAGACAGCAGAAGACTTCAGGGAGGGGCAGGGAGTCCCTAGCCTAAGAAGGCAACACAGTGGTACCTTTCCAGCATCTATCAGTCCTGTGAGTCTCCACAGTGTCCATAATGCTGGCTCCTGTCATGGGGACCTGTGATCAACAATGGACAAGCTGCAAGTCTCAAATGCCAAGTTGAGCACCAAAGCAGGAGATGCCAGACATTTGACTCTGTGAACGAGGCATTAGATTAGACAGAGCCAACACCCAAGGAACAAATGAAAATATTAAAATATGTGCAATTGATGATTCTTTCAGTTTATCCTTTTAACAAATATTTATTGAGCACTTACACTTATATGTGTCAGGACCAAAGATAAAATTTAAAAAGAGCATGAAACCAACCATACTGCCCATCGAAACTGGATTGGATAAAAATAGAAATTTTTTAAAAATGCAGTACATATACACAATAGAATATTACACAGCTATGAAGAACAAAATTTTGGACTTTGCAGCAACTTTGGATGGATTTCGAGTCTATAATAAGTGATCTATCACAGAAACAAAGAACTGAGTACCACATGTTCTCATAAGCAAGCTCTGAACATTTACCATAATAGCATAAGAAAGAGATTGGCAGTAGTGAGACACAGCCAAGGGAGAGAGAGGGGAGCACATAACATCAATAAGGGTACCTGATCTCAAATCAGGTGAAGTGGGGACCCAAACTTTGCCTGTACGATGACCACTTGTATACCAGAATCCAAATTATACCCCATATCTTTAAAATTTAAATTTTTTTTTTATTTTTAAAGAGAAAAACTTGGTGTAGATGAAATTAGAAAAGAAACTAATAAAATGTATAGTTATCTAAATTATTGGTACATCTTACAAAAATAAAACTATGGATCTAAAATTCTAAATTATTTCAATGTTGCATAGGTAGAGAAGTAGAAGTATATGAAGGATAATAGCTACTTATTAGCCTAGGCTTTGATATTAAAATGTAAATTTGAAAGTGTTAAAACTATAGGAGGATATTAATATAGGTAATCCATATTAAAGAAACGCACATTAAGTAATTGAAATAGACATAGAAGATTGTTGTTAGAAGACATTTTACAAATTGTCAAGTTTTGCTGTCACATTTTCAGAATTTTGAACTTTTAAAATTGCTTTCTTTATAAATTAGTTCAGGTATATTTTTTAATTTCCTTGTAAAACGGGAGGAAGAAACTGCAAATTGGGTATTATGTGACACAATAATACATTTTGGAGCATTTGTTTATTCTCATTTTTTAAATGATTCCTTGATTTTTTTTTTCTCCCTTGTATTCATTTGCAGCTTTATCTTGCCTGTTAAATTCTGTTTAGTTTTATAGTTCCTATTACTGGAAAAGTGCATGTAAAAGGTTGGCATTTCATTGTTCGTGTGATATGAGCTCCCTTTTAGCTGGAATATTTTTCCCATGTAATAATGAGTTGAGAAGTGTTTCATAAAAGATTATGGTTTTGAAAATGTCTTAATGGTCTAAGTTTAATTATAATGACTTGTTTGACATGAACCTTTGATAGTAAAGTCTTTGGACGCTGTGTAAAGTAAACAGTTTTATATCCTTGATAATCTCAAAAGACCTAGAACTTTGACGAAGGAATGTGTCTTGTCTTTCTAGTTTTGAATTATGACTACATAATGGCTATTTCACAATGAAGAATGTTCAAAGTCTAACATGTTTTTCCTTTGTGAATAAGATATAAATGTCATATGGGAATTTAGTACTAAGAATAACATTACCATATGTTAAAATATATTATACCATATCCCTTCAGATATATATCCCTTGGTATAGTTTTGAAGGAAAAAGGGGAAAATGAAAGAAAGGTAAATTCTTTCCCCCCAGAATTTTTACAATTTGAAAATTCATCAATAGGCATTACTCAGAAGCAGTACAAATGATCAATATGTTTATTTTAAAATGTCATCCTCAGAATTAACAAAAGGAAATGCAGACTTAAATAACATCTTGTTTCTGTCAGCTTGGGAAAGTTTTCATTGATAACAACCTGGAGGGATAAGGGGACAGAGAAAATGGCATTTGCATGTATTAGGGATAGAGTGGCCAGGCCCAGCAGGGGCTTCTCGTTCCAACTAACATTTCGATTCATATGCCTTTCATAAGACACATCTGGCCCCTCTTGCCCAGGATAGAGCTAGCCAGGGCATACAGCATGCTGGCAGGACAGCACATATTTGCTCTGCAGTGAGAACCTTCACAATACTCCACATCGTCCACACAGCCATCTGAAAGCCATTCTCTTTAGTACCCCAGTGGCAACTTTGCTGCTAAGGTGTGGGATTCATTGGTGGGTTTAAGCCTCATGTCCCAGGAGCCAATATCTATTGTAACAATCCCACTGCATAGCTCTCTGATTCTTCAAGGGACGTACCACCTATAAGTCATTGAACTCAGTAAGGTGTTTATGGTTCCTTCTAGTTGAGATATAGTTATCAGTAGGGTTATTTTTCTCCTAACCAATAATGCTTGTAACTCAGATGAAAGTGTAGGTTCCTAGGGAACAGAATCAAAAGTTAACCAAAGATTAAATTATTATGTCAAAGGAAAAAGGGTGGTTTTTACTCACAAAGATTAAATGAGTATAACCTCTTTTTAAGATCACCTTTTCACAATATACGTTGAAAGCTTTCATTGTGTGTATACCTTTTCAATCTGGCAATTTTGTTTTCAGGAATCTATTGTATCAGTAAGTATGCAAAGATATGTGTGTCTGTATATAAGTAGAAAGAAAAAAGCATATTTTCACTGAAGCATTATTTGCTGTAGTCATTAATTGGTGACAATCTAAATGGTCAGAAATTGCTTAAGTAAATTACTGTACATTTATATTCTGGAATAAAGTGTAAGTTTATAAAGTAGATATGTGCAGAAACAACAGTAAAATGATTTATATCAAAATACTTAGTGTTTAAGTCTGAGTGGTGATTTTTCATGTAATTTTTAAACCATGACTCTCTAATTGTGTGTGTGTATGTGTTGGAGCCTCACTCTTGTCGCCCAGGCTGGAATGCAGTAGCATGCTCACAGCCACTGCAGCCTCAACCTTCAGGGCTCAGGCAATCCTTCCTCCTCAGTCTCCCAAGTAGCTGGAATTACAGGCGTGTGCCATCTCACCCATCTTATTTTTTGATGTATTGTAGAGATGAAGTCTTGCCAAGTTGCCCAGGCTGGTCTTGAATCCCTGGGCTCAGACAATCCTCTCACCTCAGCCTCCCAAAGTACTGGGTTTACAAGCTTGAGCCACCGCGCCCGGCTGACTCTCTAATTTTTGACTTTGATCATGTATTACTTTTCTAAATAATTTTAAAATAGAAATTATAAAAAAACTCAATTTTAATGCAAGCTACTTACATTGACTAATCATACATTTGAAGTTTATTTTAATACCATTAGGAAGGCTTGATCTTGAACTTCTTTAATGTGTTTTTATGAACGACTAAGATCCCTGTCACATCAACATCTGAAGTGATAATGAAATATTTCAAGCCATTAGAAGCATTCTTAGGCTGGGCTCGGTGGCTTAGCCTGTAATCCCTGCATTTTGGGAGGCCGAGGTGAGTGGATTGCCTGAGCCCACAGGTTCAAGACCAACCCAGACAACTTGGCAAAACCTTGTCTCTACAATAAATAAAAAATTAGTCAGGTGTGATAGCTCACACCTGTAGTTCCAGCTACTTGGAAGGCTGAGGTGGAAGGATTGCGGGAGCCCAGCAGGTTGACACTGGGGTGGCGGTGAGTGTACCACTGCACTTCAGCCTGGGCAATGGTGTAAGACTCCAACTCAAAAAAAAAAAAAAAAGGCATTCTTAGTTCACTTCTCCACTACTGTTGTGTAATTTCAACTACCTGTTACAGTCTCATAAACTATAAACCTACTAAAATGGATAAGAAAGTAAATACAGAATTTTTTAGTTGGTTGCTGGAATTAATCTTTAGGCAAATGAGTGAAGGACAAATATGGAACAAAAACTGACTTGGTGATCAAGTGGAAAAAGCACATAATCATATATTTTAGGTAGAATGTAGATGTCAGCTTCCAAGTCCTTTTTTCATGGTGTGGGCAGATTAATGGATGCTGTCATTACTGACTAAGGGATTTGTTTTTAAACATACACAATATATTGTCCCTCTTCCACTTAGAAGTATATGCACATTGTATTTATCTTTAACATTACCCCATCTGCCTGTAGTCTTACTACTTTGTTTTTTGGTTCAGAAAATGTAAAGCAAATAATTTCTCAAGAGATGTGGGACTTGGAGGACTACTGAAAAACAAAATATAATTCCAGATGTACTTTGAGGAAAGTAAGAATCATGAGGAATATCCAAAGAAATGTGTATTGCATCTGTTCCCTACTGTTTTGTATTAGCTGTGTTTCTTGTTCTCCTTTCCTATGGATGGGAGAGGTAGTTGTCTCCAGAAGTGCTGGATACCACAGAAGACCAGCCTCTGGAACTCAGACTGGAGTGCCGGTCCTGGCCCCACCAGGGATTGCGTTACCTTGGGACTGATTCCTCATTTATAAAATGAATAAATTAGATATCTCTTATCTCCTCATTTGAGAAAACCTTTAAGATTGGTTTAATTTATAACTGTAAGACTTATGATGAGAAAGTTTTTGATAACTTTGTGTTTTTCTTTCAGTTTATATCTGTTCAAACTAGGAATAGCACCCCAGATCCAAGATTTGTTGGGCAAAGTAGACTTCACAGGTACTACTCTTTGTCTTCATAATTTTTTACAATCTAGTAACTAAAAAAAGTACCAATATTTTTATTTTTCCATTTTGATATTGATTCCCTTTCTCACTCTGCATTGACGAGAAGAGAAAACTAACCCATCTTCTTTGTACTTGACTAGGCTCCCTTTCCCCATGTTTGTGGAATGAGACCCTCTGACTGGGTCCTCCTCAGATTCTTGTTTAGAAATGAACCCTACCTTCTTGATGAGACATTTCTTGATATGAATATAGCTATTCCTGCCTTCATCTCTGTCTGTGGCTTTCTTTGATTTTTTGGTACTTTTTTAGAGGAGGAAATCAGTAATATGAGAAAAGAACTTGAGAAATATGGAATACAGATGCCATCTTTCAGCAAAATAGGTGGCATTCTGGCCAATGAACTGTCTGTGGATGAAGCTGCATGTAAGTCTATTTAAAATTCAAGCTTACCATTGATGGGGCTGTACTTTTTATTTGTTGATTTTGATAACATGAAATAGAATACTTTGAAGATAAACTTTAAGCACCCTAAAGGTTGTTACTGTTTGTGTTTTAGATGATTAATTTGAGGATGTCAGAACGAAACTAAGTAATTGATTTTGGTCTACTTGTGCAAGGTGAATTAAGAGATTTCAAAAATAGTTTCATTCTTCTTTGTTCTCTACTTTCTATGACTTTAGATTTTTAGCAGTAGACTACATTGCTTTGTGTCTTTTAGCATTGCAGGTTAAATTACAAGTATCTCCTGGAACCAGCATGTTACTTTAAATCTATCCATGCTGTCCTGACCAGAGGCCCAGGATTGACTTAACTTCAAACCCTTGTTGTTGATGCAGTGCTTGGTTCATTTTAGCTATTCAGTGTAAATTGAATAAATGAGTCAGGATTACTTAGCAGGTGTTGAGACCAAGACCAAAGACAAACAGGAATGTGGACATATTATGTACTCCATAATATGTCTGGGATCTTTTTTGACACACTTACTGAAAGCCAAGGAAAACTGCTTGAGTTTAAGCAGTGTCAATGCAACTGTCCATGTTGTCTTTTGCTAATAAAAAATCTTTTCTTTCAGTACATGCTGCAGTTATAGCCATTAATGAAGCTGTTGAAAAAGGAATAGCAGAGCAGACTATTATAACGCTAAGAAACCCAAATGCAGTTTTAACTTTTGTGGATGACTACCTTGCACAGGAATATCAGAAAGAACTCTGGGAAGCCAAAAAGAAAAAAGAGGAAAATGCAAGACTGAAGGTACTTAGATTCTGAGTAACAAATACAGTCATGAATATGGGTTATTTGTTTGAAAAAGTCTTATTTTTTTGTTTGTTTGAGTCAGAGTCTCACTCTGTTGCCCAGGCTGGAGTGCAGTGGCACACTCACGGCCACTGCAGCCTCGACCAGCTGGTTCAGGTCATCCATCTGCCTCAGCCTTCCAAGTAGCTGGAACTACAGGCGTGCGCCACCATGACTGGCTAAATATTTTATTTATTGTAGAGACGAGGTCTTGCCATGTTACCCAGGCTGGTCTCGAATCCCTGGACTCAGGCAATCCTCTCACCTCAGCCTCCCAAAGTGATAGGATTTCATGTGTGAGCCACCGTGCCCAGCTAAACCTTATTGTTAAAAGGGATTATTTGGAAATCAACTGACTGTCTCTGTGGCCGTAGGCAATTGATTTGATGAAATGTGAGGGTGAAAGCAAACCATACACCACGTGAGGCAATTAGATTTCCTTTGATGATGAACATTACCGACTGGAGGGATTGACAGTCATGTTGTAAACTTCCTGCTTTCCCAGAAAGTATAGAAATAACAGCTAAAGATTATCCCTTATTAGGCACCATCAGCAGACGCTGTTACCTTTGTATTTATTAGTAGACAGTAATTTCGTGTGGTGAGATTTAGAGAGGATGTTTTTGAATCTCCTGTCCTAATATTTCCCAGTAGTTTAACCCCTCCTACTTGAGAATGTCCCTGCTGGGCAAGTCACCTCCTCCTGCTCCTACGCCATGCTTCCTCACCTTTCTGTCTAGTCCATTATTGGAAACTTCGCCCTGAGAACTGCTTCTTCCCCAGCTGTGCTCTCTCTAAGCTCTTGCCCTGTCACTCTCTGCTCCATGACTGGAAGGAAACCACTTTTTCTTTCGGTGTCTCTCCTGGTGCTCCATCAGCATCTGCTTGGTCACCACCTCTTGCTGGAGGATCTCTGACTCCCTGGCTCCTGGGTTTCTTTGCTGCCAGGGCTCTCCTCCATCTCTCCCATCTCTCTTAGCGACCCTCTTCCTCCTCCTTCTCAATACGGGGATTATTTGAGTTCTGACATTGAATTCCTTCTCTGCTCTTCTTTCCTTGAGATCACCCACTTGTGGAAGAAGCAACTGTGAGCTTTGTACCAGACCCTCCCAAATCCGCCTTTTCACACTCCTCTACACACCTCCACCTGTGCCCCTGGGGCCTCGCATCCACCATGTCCGAAGAATGCCCCTTGCCAACTTCCCTGGTTTGGAATGATGACTACCTTGTTTCTTTTTATGACCCCTTGCTAATTGCTGATAATGCTGCCTTTCTTTCAGACTTGAATCCATCGCCCAACTTCTAGTCTCACCACTCTGACCCAGCCCTGCCCTTGCCTCAGGACTCCTGTAGCACCTTCCTTGTGGATCTCCCTGCTCCTGCCATTCTCCAGGCCAACCCCTGTCAGAGCTAGAGGTTGCAGAATCGATCCCCTGATTCTCTGTTGCCTCCTGAATTAAATCCCACCTTAGCTTGGCCTTCACCTGCCCTTCCCATCTTTGGGGCTCACCTTGGACACACTCGCCATGCCGTGGCCCAACGTGCTTTCCCTGCGTGACCAAATCCTCCTATCTGTGTCCTGTTCCTGACATTATTCTATTCCTCAAGGCCCTCCCTAGCTGTTATCGCTTTTTAAATTTTTATTTCAAACTGGCTAAGTATTATTTTGAAAAATTCTCCTATGGAATCTATTCTGTTCTATTAGGTATTATTTGTGTTCTTGATTTTATTCAATCAAATCAAATGAAATTGGTGATATTAAACTGCTTTTTAGCAAGAAAAAATGGCAATTTTTTGAATAGGGGTTCAACCTATTGTTTTCCACATAAGAAAATCAGGCCTTTTTGAAGAGGCAGTGGGTCTGTTGTTCACTTCTGTCATCATTGCTCTACAAATGCTTCCGTGGAGTTCAAGTGAGAATTAGTGAATGGTTTTATCACTCTTTGCATTTTTTTGCATTTGAGTTTTGAGCTTTGGAAACATTGGATTTAACCTCAAGAATCAGTGAAGACTTTGTTTTGCAGAATAGCTGTATTTCAGAAGAAGAAAGAGATGCATATGAGGAACTGCTGACTCAAGCAGAAATCCAAGGCAACATTAATGCAGTCAACAGTAAGTAATGAAGTGTGTGAAGGAAATAGGTATTCTGTGAGAGACAGGCTCTGCTTGCTAGGATCCTGGCAAAACTCTCAACTCACATACTTGTAAAACTGTCTTATATAATGAAAAATCTACTTAATGTCCATGTTCCTCTTAATTATGATGCAACATCTGGTTGTTTCCTGTTAAGCTTTTCTGGTGATCTTCCTAGTCCATGCCAAATAACTCAAAGTATCCTGAAGCTAATTTGGTTCTACCTTCCTGTTTTATCGCAGGTACAATGATTTTCAAATTTGAATCTGCCCCTTTTAGGGTTAGTATTGAAGATCATTTAATAAAAGATAATGGTTTAGATTGTTGTTCCTTGCCCTGATTACGTGATAGTGTTCTGTTGGAATTGTAAATTCTGCTTTTTGTTACTTCCCAATCACTTGTTTTCTTACACTTGTGTAGCTTTAGTGCCAGTGAATGAGACTAGAGGACAGACCAGGTGAAATGAAACTGCACAATTGCATGTTTGAGTACCATGTCCTTGAAACTCTGTAGAGTCAAGCAGTTCAGTTCCTTTTAGTACCTAGTTAAGGTGTGTCACCATAAAGAACAGAAAACTCAGGTAATTAAAGTAAGCATATGCAAGTTTAGATACCTCAGTCTTTTTATTAATCTTTTCTCTCCTCTAGAAAAATTTATTTTTATTTGAACATCAGAAGAGGCAGTAAGAAATTTATTTGACATTTATTTCCCCTAGGTAAATTTAAATAACCCATGTATACCCAAAAAACGAATACATGAAAGACCATTTAAAGCATGGGAACCCCTTGCCAAATGAAAACCCAGAGTGTCCACTAATGACAACCGTCCTAAACCTAGCCCTTTATTTACCTTCCTAGATGGGTTTTGAATATTCTCTATTGCTCTTAACACCTGCATAAAATGCACACCTATAGGTATTCCTCAGAAGTCTGCTGCTAAGTGCTGGAGAGAGACATCTTAAAGTGTTCAAATGTAATCGAGTAAGTCCCGAACCAAGTTAATGTCAGTGTCTAAGAGTCAACAATTGAGTGCGTTTGAGAATTTACCTCACATACACACAATGTGGCTGAGATCTCTCAGGTGTTTTTTTTAAAGGCAATACCTTAACATTTGAGGATGCACGTTCCTGGGGTTTTGGGGAGATTTTTTTGTGTGGGTTGTTTGTTTTATTTTGTTTTGTTTTGAGTAGGGATCTTACCATGTCACCTAGGCTGGACTGCAGTGGCACGATCATGGCTTACTACAGCCTCAACCTCCTGGTCTCAGGCAATCCACCGGCCTCAGCCTTCCAAGTAGCTAGGACTACAGGCATGTACCACCACACCTGGTATAATTGTTTTTATTTTTTGTAGAGACTCACTGTGTTGCCTAAGCTGGTCTCGAGTTCCTGCACTCAAGCAATCCTCATAGACTTGGTCTACCATAGTACTGTTTTTTATTTCTACTAAATCTTGAAAACACTGCTGGTGATACATGAAGTACAATTTCCAGTTTTTCCTTTTGTGCTCTGTGAAAGCTGAGAATCTCGTTATGCTTGGCAGAAATGAGTTACAGGAAGAAATTAATATTGCCAGCGAGACATCTGAGGCCCATGCACTTAGAGAGGACTTGGCTTCATGGTCTTGCACCATCCTTTATTTTTGAAATGTTTATAACCACTAAAATAGTTTCTTTTTTATGTTAAATAAAATGCCTTATGTAAATGTTTTAGTTCTTTACTCAGTGCCATGTTTTCCTGACCGCAAATTTAATGCCAAATTGGTTATGCTTTTTTTCATTTTTAAGCAAGAAGCCTTGAATAGTTTGTACTGATGGCACAACCAGCTGAAACTGATGGAGGGCATTGCCATGTTTGATGGCTTTACATGTGTAAAATATGATTATTGTGAAGATTTTTTTTCTTTCTCCCCACCTGAAAATTTATAGTCCAGTAAAAAACCCTTGGCCAGGCGCCGTGGCTCAAGCCTGTAATCCCAGCACTTTGGGAGGCCGAGGTGAGAGGATTGCTTGAGCCCAGGGGTTCGAGACCAGCCTGGGCAACTTGGTGAGACCTTGTATCTACAATATATCAACAAATTAGCCAGGTACGGTAGCACACGCCTATAGTTCTGGCTACTTTGAAGGCTGAGATAGGGTGATCGCCTGAGCCCAGCAGGTTGACTCTGGAGTGACCATGAGCGTGCCACTGCACTCCAGCCTAGGTGACAGAGTGAGACTCTGATTCAAAAAACAAAACATAACCCTCTAAAGGATATTTTGGTTACATGTCAATGAGACAGTGTAAGAATAATTACCTTGACCAGCTTTTCCTCGACCAAGTGAGTATATTAAAACATTAAGGCATCTGCATTCAGAGCACTCATAGTAATGGCTAAGTGACAGCTTGGTGGTAATGTCAACGTATCCATTGTCAGAGGTTTCAGCTGTGTTTGAACTGCAGACTATTTAACTTTTGAGTTTGGCACATGCATCCCATTTATTGCATGATATTTTCTATTAAGATCAGTGCTGGAAATTTTGTTAAATGCAGAGTGCAAAAGATGGCTGAGCTTGCCAATTTTTGAGCTTACTTTTTAGAAAAAATAGTTTATTGAGAGTTTTTCGTTGGGAGGCCGAGGCAAGAGGATTGCTTGAGCCCTGAAGTTTGAGACCAGCCTTGGCAGCACAATGAGATCTCTTCTCTACAAAATATATTTTTAAAAATTACATGATGGTGCATACCTGAAGTCCCAGCTACTCCGGAGGCGGAGGCAGGGGTATTGCTTGAGCCCAGGAGGTCAAGGCTGCAGCGAGTCGTGATCGTATCACTGTACTCCAGCCTGGGCAACAAAGCAAGATCCTGTCTCAAAAAAAAGTTTTAAGGATATGATTTACTGGTAATATTTAACATCCACTTAAATAAGCCCATATAATAAATGTGTTAAAGAGGAAGTCAGATCCTTCTCAGGGTAATCTGAAATGCAGCTGAAAGGCCCTGGCAACTTTAGCAGAACAGACCATACCGCCACAGACCTTCTTTTCCGGAATTCTTTAGTTTGTCACATTAATTTCAAAGATAGAAAAGAAGCACTTGGGTTTTCAGGGTCCTTTACATTTGGTGTAAGTTTTCTGGGGGATGCCTTAAAAGATTCCATTAGTCATAAGTATTTCCTGCTGTTGAATGATGTCTCTCAGTAAAAGGATTGAGGGCAAGTACCTTGTAAATTTATTTAGGAAAGATACATTGTCATCTTTTAAAAAAAAAAAGGTTAGAATAATCTCATCTGCAGTCTGCTTATGTATTAGGCAGACAGATTGGCCCTTGAAATCTATGGTCTGTGTTATTTCTGCTTCTCAGATGCCTTCTCTGTAGGGCTCCATCTGGTTTGCTCTTGCCTGGAGAGTTCATCACTCACCTTCCCACTTCACTAGCAGTTTTGTTTCTGTGCTAACTCCGCTGTTCCAGTCACCCCAGTTTGAGCACTAAAATTCAGGTCTTTGCCGTCTGAACCTCACGCTAGTAGAGAGATCATGGAGCTTATGCTTGTATGGATGACACACACAGCAGGGTATCTGAGTGCCCGCTAGGGGTTTTCCGTGGTGCTTACTCTTTAGGAGAATGCAACAGGAGGGCGTGGCTTGCTTCTGGTTCTTGAGCTTAATGTCTCCTTGGGGAAGAGTACTAAGTCACAAGGAACAGTGGAGAAAAGCCTGCCGGAGCCATGTGGCTTAGCTTAAATAACTACAGCATTCACAAGATGGGGAACACTCAGGGACTGGAGTCATTTGAAGGCTTCGTAGAAGAGATGGGACCAGAGCTGGTCCTGACTAAAAGGAATGGTTGGAAAGTTATGCTGGGCAGGAATGATCTCATAATTCAAGCTACATCTATGCTGAGGTGCTTTTCGGCACTGACTTCAAGGGTTGGACCTAATCAATGAATGAGATAACATTTTCAGGGCTCTGCCTCCCCTGCACCTGCAGCTTTTCGGAATTCATGGGAAGTGACTACTTAGGTTCAAATCCTGGAAAGAAGGGCTGGTTGGATCAGGCAGCTGTGGGAAGAGCAGGCATTCTGACAGACCATGAACCCCCCCCTCAGGGCAGGCTGCTGTGGACCATATCAATGCTGTCATTCTGGAAGGTGACCCTGAGAACACGCTGCTTGCGCTGAAGAAGCCAGAGGCCCAGCTGCCTGCTGTTTATCCTTTTGCTGCTGCCATGTATCAGAACGAGCTCTTCAACCTCCAGAAACAGAATGCCATGGTGAGTCAGAGAAGATGCTGGTTGTAGAGATGGTAGCCCTGGGTCCAAGCAGTAGGGAAGGCCAGTTAGGAAAGGCGCAGTGGGTGTTTTACCCCCATTCTAACTTGTTCCAGTTCCCAGTTCCACTGACCCACCTGTACCAATGCCATGACCTCCTTTCTCTTTATCTACATGAAGATGCTATGAGTATAGTCAGGAAACTCAGGCAGTGGTACACAAAACACATGAAAATTATTCCTAATCTCTGTGTGATTTTTTTTTTTAAGGATCCTTGGATAAGTTTTTAGCTATACTGTTATGATTTTCTAAAATATGTAATATTCTTGATACAGAAAAATAAGTGCAATCTGCACTTTAGAAGCCTGAAAATAAGAGTATTAGCATCATGGCTTTGATTTTTGTAAATTTATGCTCCTTAATATGCTAATAGTATTAAGCAGTCATTTTGTATAAGGTTATGGTAATTAAGAGCAGGTTTACTAGTGCTCCTGTAAGCCAAACAATAGAACAAAATGGAAGGTACTAGAAGCAGAGCCAAGAATTCAGTATATCAGAAAGCTAGTATTGCAAAAGGTGGGGAAATGATTATTTAATCAATGAAATCCTTACAAGTATTTAGCCATTGTTAAGAAAACATCACTACACATATCATATATCAGAATAAATTTCCAAAATAAGAGATTAAATGTAGAAAATAACTTAAAAATTACAGTTCTAAGGAAAAACAGAGGACATTTATTGGATCGCTAAATCATAATTAGCACTTATTCACCAAAAAAAAGGAGAGACCAAGAGCACGAACAGGCAGTTCACAAAACAAGGAATATACAAATGACATACACACATACAAGTTCAAACTCATCTGGAAATAAATAAATGTAAGCTAAAACAAAGTATAGTTGTTTTTAAAAATTAAATTGATAGCGATTAGAAAGATTTAACCTAGTGTGGGTATAAAAATGGTGCAGCAGGCATCTCCTACAGCTGAGAGGAGCATGGATTGTGCAGCCTTTTTGGAGGATGGCCTCTGTAACACACATCAAAGACCATGATGTGGACAGTTACATTCTAGAAAATGAACCTAAAGGATGTGGACCCAATAGCTCTAGTGTCTGAGATATCTCAGCATCTCATAACATTGAGAAACAGGAAGGAGATTGCATGTTTAATTAATAACAGATTGCTTAATTTATGGTACTTCCATGTACTAGAAATATGTGCAACCAGTAAAGAGATAGCCACACTAATATTAAGTGGAAAAAATGAGATTAAAAAATATAGCAAAGCCAGGCGCAGTTGCTCATACCTGTAATCCCAGCACTGTGGGAGGCCAAGGAGGCAGGATCACTTGAGCCCAGGAGTTCGAGACCAGCCTATGCAACATAACAAGATCTGGTCTCTACAAAAAAAATGAGCTGAACATGGTGGCACATACCTGTAGTTCTAGCTACTTGGGAGGCTGAGATGGAAGGATCGCCTGAGCCCAGGAGGTCAAGGCTGCGGTGAGCCATGATGGTGCTGCTGCACTCCTGCCTGGGCGACAGAATAAGACACTGACTTAAAAAAAATTAATCTCTGAGCCGGGCTCGGTGGCTCAGCCTGTAATCCCACGCCTTTGGGAGGCTGAGGTGAGTGGATTGCCTGAGCCAGCAGGTTCGAGACCCGCCTGGGCAGCGAGACCTCATCTCTACAATAAATCAAAAAATCAGCTGGGCGTGGTAGCACATGCCTGTAATTCCGGCTCCTTGAAAGGCTGAGGCGGAAGGATCGCCGGAGACCAGCAGGTCGAGGCTGCGGTGGCCAGGAGCGGCCACTGCACTCCAGTCTGGGTGACAGAGTGAGACTCCAACTCAAAAAAAAAAAAAAATTAATCTCATTTAATTTTTAAAATAAAATAAAATATATGGCATTATCTTGGTTTTTGTAGTAAGAAAATAAAAGTAAAATCAGTCATAATGAACAAAATTTCTGTAAATGTATGCATGAATTTAGAATACATAAAAGGATATCTACAAAAAGGTTTGGGTGGGAGAATTTCTTTTTTCTTATCAAGACTTCCTGTGTTTTTTAAATAGAAATATAGTATTTCATAATAAAATAAAAATAGGTTATATTCTTAAATTGCACTTAGGTGGGGTCTCACTAATATTTTCTCCCTCTTCTCGAGGTGTGAAGCCCAAGGCTGTTAACACTCCCTGGCGGTCATTCCTCCTGACAGGTCAGCCTGAGGCTGTCCAGCCCTGCTACTTTTCCTTCTCCTTTTTGCTGGAGGCCACTTTAGCTATTTCTGGACAGTTCACTGAAAGGTAGAGGAGGGGACTCATAAATGATTCCATTCTGCTCTTCACTTGCAATCTTACACCTAGCTTATAGTGTTAAACTTATACTTGATGTAAGATATTAGGATAAAATTTACTTACAGCTCCTTATCATCCCCCCTTTCTTACCATTTGCCAGAGAAGTTAAAATTATCCTTTTTATTCTGAAATCAGTCTGCAAGATTTCTGTGGAGACCCAGAAAGCTATAATAATATATTTTAATATAAATATTACATCATATATATGAAGTGCATATAATACCCTAAATGTAATTCTTTTTCCTGCTCTTTCTTATGTTCCTTCAATAAGATGAAAAATATCCCTTTTGAAGGTGGGCCAAGATGATGTAAAATGGTTAAATTAAGGAAAATATTGAAAGGAAGGGGTTCTGAAATCTAAGATATATTTTTTTAGATAAGCCAAATCCAGATTTTAAATCATATAAATCAAGGGATCCTTACTTGCCGTTGCCAAAAGATTACCTCAGATTTCTTCACATCTCTAGACCTTATGGTACATTTAAAAATTTCTTCCCAGTTTATAAAAATGTAACTTAGACTAGCTTTTTTGGAATTAGAATCAATGTTCTTGGTTTAAACATTGCTTTATTTTTCTAGTTACAACTTTTGGGTACAGTTCTCCCCTCCTTACCTTGACTCTTTGTTTAAACTGGAAATCATTAGCTGTGCTAAAATCCTACCTCACACTTTCTTTCAGTGACAATGTTGTCTAGTCCTTGGCTTAATTATATGGTTGGACTGAGCCTTTAAGCCTCCAGCTTAGCTGGGAGCAGGGACCCACTATGGGAATGCAGATATTTGAGGAATCATAACTGTTGGTTGTAGTTTGTTTTATTTTATTTTATAGATGTGGGGTACAAGTGAGAACTAACTACATAAGTAGGCTACATGCAGGTGAAATCTGGGCTTCTAACTGGACCTCATTCTCCCTGGTAGTGGACCCTTTGTGTTGTCGTGTGTCCCCCGCTTTCTTTTCTCCCTCTCTCCCTCCCCTAGTAGTGTACAGTGACTGTCTATCCCTCCCTCGTGCTAATGTGACTAATGTTCAGGGCCCACTAATGAGTGAGAACTTACAGTGTTCAGTTCTTTGTGACTGTGATAGTTCACTTGGTATTATGGTCTCCAGCTCCAACCAATTTGCTGCAAAGTTCATGACTGTTGGTTGTGATTAAAGCAGTTCCCAAAATGACCTTCTGAAGAAAACCCGTTTACCTGTCGGTTAAAGCCGAAAATGGAAAGCAGGTGACCAATGACCCCTCTTTCTGCTGGGCTGTCAAGATCTTTGACTTGTCTCTGCTCTTTTAATTGTGCATTACAAACTTCCATCACAACATGAGGTGTCTTATTTGGGGAGCTTATATTGCCGTATGTTTTCCAACAGAACTACTTGGCCCACGAGGAACTCTCGATTGCTGTGGAAATGTTGTCTGCTGTTGCTTTGCTCAACCAGGCCCTGGAAAGCAACGATCTTGTGTCTGTGCAGGATCAACTCAGAAGCCCCACAATAGGCCTAAACAATCTGGACAAGGCATATATGGAACGGTAAGGAACATTTTCCAAACCTTTTATCAATGCAGAAATGCATGTTTGGCAGATCTTACAAATTAAGAATTTTGTTCCCTTGTGGAGGCATCCATATACCTACTCGTGTTTCTTGAAAGCTAGTCTGTTTTAAGAGTCATTCTAATTAGAGTCCTTCTTTACAATCTTCTTTGTGGGGGAACAAAAGGAATCTGAAAATGATTATCCTCTGAAAGTTTATGACTGACTTTGTCATTGGCAAAGATGGGTTCACAATAAAGGAAGTATTGAAAACATACCTTCCCTTGGGCTTCTTTTGGAAACAATATAGAAGAGTTGGAAGTAACTTTAATAATCATCCAGTTTTACTGATAAAGAAATGGAATCTGGAGTTACAGACCTAAAGTTAGGCAGTTGGGCCTAAAACTCACTCTGCTGATTGCTAAGCCAAAGGAGTCCAGAGACCACAGTGGGTCATGGCAGCGGGTAACAGTCTCAGTTTAGTGTCTTTCCTTTCATGTTTCTGAAATGTGCTACTAGATAGAACGATTGGTAGCATTACAAAACACCATAGTGGATCTAGAAAGAAAATTAAAGGGTGTAAAATAAAGGAGCCAAGTTAGAGATTCAGTAAGACAAAAGGGCCAGTTAAAATAAGGGAATCTTGGATTCTTGTGACCACTAGGGGGAGATGTTGGCACAAATCTTGGCAAAGCTCTTTTCAGATACTGATTACCGAACTTGCCTAATAGGTAGGTTGGCTGATTCTCTTGGGTCACACAAAGCTGCACAGGAAAAATCAGATTTCTTAGGTTAAACAAATGATGTTTGACCACCTGTCTATATAGAGAATGACCAAAAAGTAGTGGAAGGACTGTGGATTTTCCATGTTTTTAGTCATCTTGGAGAAACAAATGCTTTTGTTTTGCTTAAATTTGACCGTCTAGTATGAATGAGACTCCAGAGTGTTTCCAAGGTAATTTATTTCTACCTCCGCTGTTTGTGTGAATGACTCATCCTCTCCTCCAGGCTTAGAAACCCCAAGCTCAACTGGAGTTTTCCTCTGCCCTCTGCCAGGCTCCCAAGTGCTGTGAAGAGCCTGCCCACCTCTCTGCTGTCAAGATCCAGCCCGTGTGCCTTATACCTCTGCAAGACACTTCCCATTTCCCTAGATTTTACTTCTCACCTTTGCCCTTGTAAACTCCCAGATTGGTCATCCTACCTCTTCTCTCTTACCCAACCAGGCTTTGCTGTACTCTTAGTGCTGGAGGAGAAGACAGAACTAGTCACTGCCTTATGAAGCTCACAGGCTGGTGGGGCGTCTTGGTGAGATAACCGTTAAGGATGTCCCATGTATTTAGCATCGCTGACTACTGCCCTCTGAGTGACAGTAGCACCCCACTGACCCACCCAGTCACCCATTTTTATTATCAAAAATGCCTGGACCTCCATTTATAAATACTCCTCAAGGAAGTGGTCCCATTCCATATGAGAACCACATTTATAGCTGTAGGTTGCACCTGGGACTTGCAAATATAGCCTCATAGTCCAAGTGTTCTGTATGAAAAACTTTTAAAACGTGTGCGTTGACGATTTTTAAAAATTTGATTTAAGCACATTGTGGATGACCTAGACGACATGAAATTCCAGGGCCCACTTTGGTTTTTGTATTGACGGTTGTATTGGCCCCAGGAGATCATCCACTTTTTAGCACTTCACTTCCAAAGTCAACTTCTTAACAGTTCTTGAAAGTCCAGATTTGCAGATGATCAGGTTTGAGAAACACTGCTCTGTACAGGACCTCTCCTCACAGAGTACAGGTTCTTCATAGCACAGGGGTGAGGGTGAGGCCTCACAAAAAGTGATGCATGACTTGGCATCAGCCCTGGGTGTATGCTGTTCCCAGATGAACTGTTCCCAAATGTAGCTATGTTCATAATTCTTCTGTTTGATTGTTCTCATTTGAATTAAGAACAGACTTCTCACTCTACATGTGTTGTCCTGACCTTACACTACATCGCTACTTATACTTTGCAGTTCAACCAAGCTGGGTCCAACCCCACTGTATACTTTCTGGTCTCTCTGTTCTTGTGCATGGTCTGCTCACTTCCTGGAGCATGGTCCCTTTACCCAGCTCAGCTAAGCACAGTATCAGCACTTCCGAGTCCTGCCTGCCTTATGCTGTGTTTCCATCAAGTGTTCCTATGCTCTTTCCCACACAATTGCAAATGTTATCTCTTCTGGGAACCAGCAAGATTAGTGCAGCAGAATATTTTCTTAGGCTTGTCACTCTAACAGTCTACACATACCAGCCAGTGTTCACATCTGCACTTGGCAAGGCCTCATTCATCTACAGACAGTAAATCATCACCATTTCCTATTTTGAATGATGTTTTTCTCTCAAGCTGTTCTCTGTGGAAAACCCTTCAGCATCACCTTGAAGCATGCAGAATTTTAAGAAAATTTGTCACAACCAGGAAACTGTTTTAGACTCAATATGATGTTATTTCTTTTAACCTCTGCCATTAGCAAATCCCTAAACTAGTTAGAAGTCAAATACATTGTTAATCAGCATGTCCATAGAGAACTATTCTTTATTTCTCTGGTATAAAGATGTAAAAGCACACTATCATGTTTCTTTATTTTTAACTGGAATAGTTCATATTAGCCTATGGTTGTAACATTGGTTTTATGATTTCTAAGTGAGAAAATTGGTTATTGAGAAATAAAAGTTTCTTAATAATATATTGATATGGTTAAGTTTTTCCCTGAAACTTCCTCAGGATAAGAAAAAAATTAGTAGAGTGGTTAATCAAACTCTATCTTCCAGAGGGCTATGCACAGTGAGGAGAGTCAAGGATCATAAGTGAGGTATGGGGGGACACAGAAGAGAGATTTTTACATAGCAGCTATGGAGGCTTTGGAGAAATGGGCAGGTGAAGAGGAATTTGGGGATATTCTTGTTCAGTGCATGTGCTCTGTCTTTAAGAAAACATACAGTGAAGATCTGTGTTATTCAGCAAGGTTTCTGGAACTACATTTGTATTTTCTTTGGTTCCTCAGTGGGCTAATTAGGCCTCAGGGCAACCCAACTGTATTAGGGCTACGGTGGAAAAGGTTTTTCAAAACTTAGACTTTGGAAGGAAAAGAGAAATAATAAGAAGGACCCTTGATGATAGAAGTATTGAGAGCCATGATAACTCAGAGTTTTAACCTGAGTTAAATGATCATCTGGAGACTGAGCAGAACCAATTCATGCTGAGGAAAGGAAAATTGGTGAGTAACCAGGAAAAAAAAGGAATTTCACAGAGTCAAGTGCTTCTAGTTTTGTTTGTGTTAGGTACAAGTTTGGATTTTGAGGAACTTTCATTAAACAGGATTTGTACATAAAAATACTTCTAAAAAAAAAACACCACTAGTACAAGTGAGCTTGGTGTATGTTGGCAAAGCCACCCAAGACAGCTTCATTTGCTTTTCCACTCCTTGTCCGGCCCTATAACATCCACGTTTGGCCATGTGTTGTATTTGAGATACATAACAGGAACTAAGATCGAATGTCTCTGATTGGCATCATGGTTATTTTTTTCTTCCACAGTTATGCAAATGCTCTGCTCTCTATCAAACTAGAAGCCTTATCCCAAGGGCAAGATAACTTAAGCTGGAATGAAATTCAGAATTGTATTGACATGGTTAATGCTCAGATTCAAGAAGAAAATGACCGTAAGTATGGGACACTTTTCTTCTCTGGCACAGTGGGAGACAAAGATGTCTGGACAACTTTGTTTTCTAGATTAGGCTGTATGTTTTTGCTCATATAGCCCTGTGAGAGCACACTCCCCTATTATGTACAGACTTATTTATATATAAATTTTATGTCTGTACGGCTGTACTAACATATTATAAACATTACAAAGCATAAACAAAAATATATAAAAGGATAGAATGCAAGTACATAAATAGAAGCCCTAATATTTGTACTTCAAAGATAGCTACTCTAAATAACTCAGCTTTTTTGTTTTTTGAGTTGGAGTCTTACACAGCCACCCAAGCTGGAGTGTAGTGGCAGGACCATGACTACCACCCCTCGACTTCCTGGGCTCAGGCATTCCTTCTGCCTCAGCCTCTCAAGTAGCTGGGACTACTGGTGTGCACCACCATGTCTGGCTAATTGTTTGGATTTGTTGTAGATATGTGGTCTCACCATGTTGCCCAGACTGTTCTCAAACTTCTGGGCTCATCCAGTCCTCTCGCCTTGACCTCCCAAAGTGCTGAGATTACAAGCATGAGCCACCACGCCCAGCCAATAACTCAGCTTTTTAATCACCCAATTTAAGCCGGGCTCGGTGGCTCAGCCTGTAATCCCGCGCTTTGGGATACTGAGGTGAGTGAATTACCTGAGCCCACGGGTTCGAGACCCGCCTGGGCAACTTGGCGAG